AAGTGGCTATTTGGACGACATTCCATTATGTCAATCGAAAATAAGCTAATAATATACAAGCAGGTACTGCGTCCAATTTGGCCCTACGGATCTCAACTCTGGGGTTGCACATCTGAGTCAAATAGGCAGATAATACAACGATATCAAAACAACATCCTAAGAAGAATTACCAATGCTCTATGGTATATCCGTAACAGCGACCTTCATCGTGACTTGCATGTTCCGAGTTGCTGAAATAATCACGCTTCAGGCCGAAGCATATAAAAAAAGACTTGAAGTTCACTGCAACACAGTAGCTTCATCACTCCTTCAAACAGAAGAATTCGTACACCGGCTTTCGAGAACCAAACCGTCCAATTTAATTAATTATATTAAATATTAATCATTATTATAATAATTTGTCAAATTTAAATAGAAATAAAAAAGACACTAATTTATTATTTATATTTAAAAATCGTTTATACTTTATTAAAAATAATTCTTCCAATATTTCGGCTATCTTCGATAGTCATCTTCAGGGAAAACTAAACAAAATATACGATGTTCCATTTTTATAGCGGAACCATTAATTAATCATTATACTATAATATTATAGATAAGGATTAATATCGACAATTTTAAGTCCCCGACATAAAACCATTGCTAATTAGTTTTTTTTAATGTAATGACATTTAAATCCTCCAATGACTTGTTTTGCACTATTATAGTACACTCACGCAGATGGGGAACCACTGGAATGACTTTTTGGTGCAAGTAAAAGTTTACTTCATTTAAAGCTAATTTAAAATAAATTAATTTTGTCTTCATTTGTTTTGGAATGAAATGAACTTGTGTATGGAAAAAACTTATATTTAGCGCAAATGAAGGAGAAATTGAGATTTTGAAGCTGTGTCTGAACATATAGAATCGATAGTATTATATAACTATATTAATGCATCATATATAACCGATTTAATAAAGTTCTTTAAAGTTTTAAAGTTTTAAAATTTCATAATTAATAATAATTGAAATATTTTTAAGAACTCTTTTAATAGTTTAATAAGAAATGTGTGCGCCACTCAGTTTTCAGAGTTATATTCAAAAGTATATATAAACAAATCATAAGCCATAATGTGAGTTACGAAACAAATCTTCCCGAATTCTTCTGTGTGTTACTCTTTTATCACGTATAATAGTGTAAATAAGTCAAGCTGTGTTAAAAAGCAGTAATATTGCAAATTGTACATTCATAAATATGCTTTGAAAATTATAAAACATTTAAGATATTGTTAAAAATGATTAATGTTAACTGTACCAATAGGAACTGGAAGACTGAATCAAGTCACCGCCCCCATGATTCTAAAGGACAATTAATTCTTCCACTTTTACAGAATAATCTCCACTTGATATCAAAAGGTACGCTGTTGGTATCCCTTTCTGAGAAGCATTCATATCTACCTTTTATATTTAAATCGTTTTTGAAATAGTGTAGTAAATAAATTTAAAGATAAATATATAAGGCTTACAATAAATAATTTGGTCACTGTATAATATAGATAACACATAAAACTTTTTTAAATAAAGCTTATATTTATTATTGCAATTAAAATTTAATAAATACATATATTTGCATTAAAATCGATTAAATTCACATACAAGTTCTGAAGGCATTAAATTTGGTAGCATTAGTAAATAAAAACACTGAGGTAAAAAATACAAATCATATACAAATCACTTCAATTAACTAATATATATGAGCATTTACAAATTGTCATAAACATTAAACAAATGCTTTGTAAAATATGTCAATGATAGCTTATACTAAATTTAATAACTACACATGACAAAAATTGTGCATTATTTATAAATATATATATGTATGTATATATATGTATATAGCAACTTAAACATTTACAAGTCTGAATGCATAAAATTGTCTTAATATCATTATTTGTTTTTAAATTCTCACAAATTTACTTTTTCTTGCCATTTGGTGTAGTTGACTGAAATACGGATGATGCTGACATTAAGTTTTCAATGTACTGCCCAAGTACTTGGTTCTCTGAGCGCAATTTCAGATTTTCTTCTTTTACGGAATCGACTCGTTGTGACAAGTCATCTAAAGTATTTTGCAATTCTAATACTTGAGTTATGAGTCGCGCCTTTTCCTCTTTCTCGTCAGGACTTATTTCTGCTTCCATTGAGTTGTGTGAAGAATCTGGTGTTGAGCTCCTATTAGTAAATGAAGATCGTAAAGAATCCATGGAACAACCGTTGGGCATATTATTTTGACGAATATCGTCATCATTAATAATCACTAAATATAACATTGAACATTAAAATTAATATAAAACAATACAGAATGTTTTTTTAGTAACTCACCCTGCGGATCTGCATCTGCTAAGGGTATGTTGTCATCCAATTTATCGATTAACGACATAACTTCAAAAATATATGTTCACGAATATTAATTTGAAATATAACAGAATGCTGAGCTATAATTTATTTAAATAATCTAAAACACTCTCAGAATATTATTATTTTGTGGTATTATTTTTTATCAATCACCACTTCAGTTAATTACTTTCTCTGCTGCTTCTTACTAGTATGTGTCATATTATTCACAATAAATGTAATGAATGTGCACGAATCAATGTTATTACATCTGTAAACAATATATTTATGCATCATGTAATAATAATACCATTATCCTTTAGATTATAGAAGAAATATTTTTAATAGTTTATTATTTTATTAATACATATTTAATTTAAATATTGATTTAAGTGTTCAAATATTTTTAATATATTAAAACAATTAAAATTTACTACTTTTTCCACAAATTTATAGATTATGCCATTTGGTAACACTCAATTAAGTACTTTAAAAGTATTTAATTTTTGTTTTATCAAAATTAATTAATTATAAATTTAAATTGGAAAACTTTTAAAATAAGTATTAATAATTAAAATTAAATGTTTTATGAGCTCTTCTACTACCAAAATACTTTATTTAGAAATTTTGGTTAATACAATAATATATATAACTCCTTAGATAGATAATTATAAAATAATAAAATAATAAAATGTTTATTCTATAATTATTCTTATTATTACGCCTTATAAATTTGACAAAATTCATTTAATTAGACATTTTATTATATATTTTTTAATTATCTAACTATGGATTTATATAAATTCATTGGCACAAAAATGTACCAATGAAGTATTTTGATTTACTTAAATTCTAATAAATTTATTTATGCCAATTCTGTTTTTATTATTAAAAAATTATATTGAAAGATTTCTTTAATACTTTTTAAAAAATCTAAAATCATTTCTTTTAATTTATTGTTATTTCAATTTAGAACTATAAAATTATTTCATAATATATTTACATATGCAATCGATGTTTAACTAAAAAAAACTTTTTTTTTTTGAAAATAGCATATATACGAATACGACTCTTGGATCCAATGAATATTTTACCTTTATAACAAACTCGTGCTTGTTGAAAAACGCTGATTAAATTAAATTAATTCCTGCATATATTCCTACTTTTTTCTTTATTTCCAAACTTGTAGTAAAATCTGGAAAGGTCTGAGAAAATTGTTTATTAATTTAGTCTTGATAAGTTTGTAATGCATACACTACCATTATTTTTTGAATATACTTTTTAAATATGACTAAGCAAATTGAATGCGTGCACAAATCACTACGAAAATTAATCGGTAGAATCATGAAATCATACATATATTTCAAACACTACCATTATTTTTTAAATGATTTTATTTTTTATATATAACTAAATAACTGAATGATTCGTGCAAAACACTATGAAAGCAAATCGGAAGAATCATATAGAGTTCTGAGTTTTTTTACTTTTTACTTTTAATTCTTGCCAACTATCGCATACTAAATTATTATAAATTATTTTGTTTATAATTATAATGAAATGTTTTTAATGCTAAATAATTGTATTCTAAATTAGTTTTTACTTCTCCTGAAAGAACAACGATAGACTTCGTTTCTGTATTTTTTATTTAAAAATACCTGTAGTTTTAATAAGATTTATATACAAATTTTATAAACAAACTATATACAAATATCGTTTATATACTTATAAATAATGCATTATTCATTTGCAAAATGCTTGCCGATTCAAACTTCCAAAATATTACCGTTGCATCTAAATTGCTTATGTTTCAGATGCAAAAATACCGTCCTGGCATTGGTTTGTTTCGTTTCGTATATTAGATTATATGGAGTTCTTGAATTATATCCTTTTTAGATTAATTTTTTTCAGAAATGCATTATACGTATACATTTATTACTAAACTATCCTTGTATACACATCCACACAAGCCGATCTATGTTATGTATGTATCAATGTTACAAGTACACATTTTTTTATTAACTATTGTTCAACTAAATAAATATATAGTAAATAATATTATTATATATGTACATCATTTTATTTCTTTATATTTCAATATTTCCACTACTTAATTATACAGCACTTGTCCAAAACTACCACGCAACGTGACGTTCGCCATTTTGTATTCTAAGTACAAATATGTATCAATGCTTTAAAATTGTTATGAAAATATTTTATTTTTTTATTTTCATTTCCATAATACATGTTTTGTTATATGTTTTGCTGTTTTTTAACATATACTTCTTTTAACAACAACAAGTAAATAATAACCAACTTTTTAAATATCTTATGCTACAAACTGATGAGGTTTTGTGAAAAATATGACTGTTTCAAGGTTTCAGATTTATATTTATATTAATATAAAATGTATTATAAATATATAAAATGTATTATAAATATATAAAATGTATTATAAATAATTCATCTAACACATTTATATTTCTTTAATAGATATAATAAGTCAAATTGAATCTTTAAAAACGCCCTCTGCTATAAATTTCTCCCTTTTCTGCTAAGGAAAACTTTTGTTATTTATCAACAAATGATATGGTTTATTATGTACACATTAATGAATATATTGACAATATTTAATTTATTTAATATTTATATACATATGTATGTATATTTAACACAATGTTTAAAAAAACTAAAACTCAAATAAACGATCTTTTAATGTTTCAATTTCTAGTCTACAGAGGATGGTATTCTTATACTGGTAAACACTTTAATGAGATTAGAATCCCTTTTTATTAATGACGATGTCGCATTAATTTATGCAGTTTTGCTGTACTTTGATAATGCCATTTTTGTTTGTATCCAAAAAAAATTATTAATAAATCTTTTCGTTTTGGCGACAGCTATATACATACATATATCTTAATTTTTGTATCAACTGTTTATCTTTGATGTATTTTTATTATTTATTCATGGTTTACACTTTCTTTATCTGCATACATTTTTAGTTTCCACAATATATATATGTTTTTAACGCTTAAATAATAATATATATATACAGTCCAACTTCCATAACTCGAACTTGTGTAACTCCAATTTTTTATAATTCGAAGTAAATAGAGTTGCACAGGATTTATAGAGCAAATTATATACAATTACCAAAAATTCTTTAACTCAGTCTCCATAAGTCGAACCTTTTCTTTGCAAAATGGTACTTCGATATATGGAAGTTTGACTCGAATCAAAAACCAGAAAAAAACAGTAAATGCAAAATATTAACAATAAAATTTTTAATCTGAATAATAAAATATATAATTAAATTTTTTCATAATTTTTATAACTTTGTTATAAGTAGCAACAATAAACTGAAAAAAGATATAATACTTATGTTAGTAATGAATAAAGAAAGTTGAATATAGCTTATTATTTATTCAATTTAAATATCTTTTCTTTATGTTGACTTCGGACGTATTATTGTCCACATCCAATTCAAAAGCATTGAAAACATCTGATGAATTTTTACCGTTCACCATGAATGCAAAATAAAAATGTTAGCAATATTGATTATACAATTTTATTTTTATTTACTATTCGCCCACGTCAAGACCCACTCATTTCGCTGGACGAAGTTTCTTCTTTCGCTAAATACAACAAAACCACAACAGCTTAGGATGGCTTCGTGCGTCTGCGTTTATCCACGTCCCATAAAATAACAATGCAAACATCTGGTGAATTTCACCTTTCATCAGGAATGCAAAATAAAAATAGCAATAATACTGATTTTACAGATGGAATTATATTCGTCCACACCAGCTAAGACCCGCTTATCTCAACCGACGCAGTTTCTCCTATTCTTACATACAACAAAACTGCTTATATTATTTGTTACAAGAATGGTTAAATCTTTCATAAACAAACAAAATAAATATTGACCCTACTATATGTAATAACTAAATTTTTATTCATTTTACATACATACATATTTTTTATTAAAAACATATATTATATAGTTTCATATGTTATACATATATATAATAAATGATATAATCATTATATATGTATATATATGTCATTCATCGATCGCCTCAATGACGTATGTCAAGAAAGCGCAATTTTTTTATTTTTTCTTGATTTTGTATTAAAAATATATTTTATGTAATTTTATATATTATACACATATATACTAAATGATATAATCATTATATACATATATATATATTATTAATCGATCGCTACAATCACGTATGTCAAGAAAGCGCCATTTTTTATTTATTCTTGATTTGGATTTATTTCAGCATATTCTACTAAACTATCGTAAATATATATTTAATACATATATAACGTTGCTATATAATATGGTATCTTACATGAAGTTAGACATTTCATAATAAATTTTATAAAGTTATTTTTAAATATTATGTTTTATTGCTGTATTTCAGTGCAAGATTTTTTTGCTTTACATACGTGATTATAGTTTCGACCAACGATATGTTACATTTTCAATACGTGCAACAAGTACTGTAATTTTCCAAAATAAAGAAACAATTTTGAAATTGTAATAAATATTATTTTTTTATTAGATTATGTGGTTATTTATTGTAATGTATTTTATTGTATTCTCTTAAATATAATTTAAGAACTTACTTTTTTTATTTATTATTAAGTTTTCATATTATTTTTGAGCCTGGAACAGGATCAAACTACCTGAATTTGCAAAATTCAAACTTCTCGTGAAATGTCAAAATTTTGCTATTTAACGTGAGCGACAACACTGTTTCTACGCATTTTGTGCAGCACTTTGAACGTACCAAGATCGCGCTGAATTTTACGCTATTAAACAGTGAAGTTAATTTTATTAAAATGATGAAAAGCTTGTTCTTTATTGCTTATAAGTGAAATATTAACAAAAATGAAAAGAACTCTTATTAAATGAACTAAAATAAATCAATTATGTTATAAGTTGTCACGAAGTAAAATGTTTAAAAGGTACAGCAACTGTGGACTACACATTTAAAAAAAGTTACTTTGTGTGCCGAAAGGTACTTTTTACAAATTCATTGAAAAAAAAACTTTAAATTTGTTTTAAACAACTATTAAAGTTATAATTAAGAACAGTTTTAAGTGTTATATTAAAAGATATTACAAAATAAGTTTATAAATTTAAAAACTAAAAGTTTACAAAAATTATTTGTATTAAGTGCTATATGTTTTGT